ATCCATGAAGAAACAATGTGACGGAACATCTACAGACATCTGTACCTTGTATTGTTCTGTCAGTGTCTGTTTTGCTGCTGTTATGGTTTGTCTCCATTTCCTGTTGAGGAGGGTCTGTTAACATGAAAACAGTTATAAGTAGGGTGATGAATTATTTGTCACTTTAACTTTAATTAAGTGTCTGTTTTTACTCTTCAAATACCAATAAAACACATTTTACAGTGTACAATACTGGTATCTATTTAGCTGTCAAAACGGTAACTATACATCACATGGCTTTCCTGGGAGAAAATATATAGAAATTCACTAATATAAATAAATAAAATATTACTTTAAATTTTGTATATCAGTTGATTCTGTTCATCAAATTTAATTGAAATAATTTTAATATGAGCCCACATAATTTTAAGCATTTTATTAAAAAAACAAACAAACAAACAAACAAACTGGAAAAACGATTAAACAAATAAAACATTTGACTGATCTTTGTGGTTCGGTAGAAACAAATGGGTTATAGGTAGTTACAACCTTCCCTGTTAATTGGTTCAGCCACAATGTTTCTCACTTTTTTTTAACAATTCGTTAAAAGTTCTGATTAAATTTCATATATCAGTTTAAACAAACAAAATCTGCTGATTCAGTACCAGCTGTCATTTAACATGCATTAACCTGGTTACGTATCAGATTATAACCCAGATGTTAACTTTTTACATCCTTTATTTTTCTAGACAGACACTTAAAATTCATACCATCACCTCAGGGTGGTGGTCGTGTGGTGTGCATTCTAACCGTTTCGAGTAGGTGATCTCTCACTGCAGGCCGTCCGCTGCAGGTTCTGCTCGGCCTGGCCTCTTCTCTTGGACTCCACCTCCAGAGCCTCCTGCAGTTTCCTCTTGGTCTTCTTCTCTTTCTTCAGCCGCTTCTGGATGAGTGCTGAAAAAAGCACACATGGAAAAAAATTATAATAACTAATAGGAATGTACACTACTGTTCAAAACTTTGGAATGGGTAAGAGTTTTAAAAATATTTTTAAAGAAGTCTCTTATGAATCTCTTATGCAAAGGCTGTAAATTAAACTGTTGTCTATTGTAATATGTTGTAAGCTGTACTTTATTCCTGTGTGATGCAAAGCTGCCATCACGCCAGTCTTCAGTGTCACATGATACTTCAGAAATCAGTCTAATATGTGTCACACTACGAGCCAGAGACACAAGGTAAGGATGCAAACAGGAGGGTTTATTGACAAATCTGAGAGCAAGTTGATGACAGGTGAGTATGAGAAGGTAGAGAGTTCTTGGGTTCTTAACTCTGGGTATTGAGTTGGTATCCTTTGCAGGTATCCGGGGATGATGAGAACTTACGGGGCAGGCGGAGGCGCAGATCTCGGGTGGACAGCCAGACCTTCTCTCCAGGCTAAGTAGGGGCCTAGCTTACAAGGTAAGTAGGAGTAGAGGTGCGCCGGGCATCTGTGAAGGCCTTGTGCCTCCGCACTGCTTGTTGTGAGCTGAGTCCCACACTCTCTTGCTCTCCCGGAACCAGAAGTCCACAGCTGGAACCTCCGAGGGCTCCTCCGTCCATGGGAAGAGCGGGGGTTGGTAGCCGAGTATGCACTGAAAGACGGTCATGCTGGTGGTGTTCTGTCGGAGGGAGTTTTTTGCATACTCGGTCCAGGGGAGTAAATGGCTCCAGCTGTGCTGATCTTTGTGGCAGTATGACCGGAGGTAATGCCCGAGCTCCTGGATCCTTTGCTCAGTCTGGTCATTCGTCTGAGGATGGTACCTGGAGGACAAGCTCACGGTCACTCCCAGGAGTCGGAAGAAGACTTTCCATACACGGGAGATGAACTGGGGACCCCGGTCTGAGACCACATCTTCCGGGATGCCGTAGTTTCTGAACACATGGCTAAATAAGCACTCTGCAGTTTCTAGTGCTGTTGGCAGAACTTTGAGGGGTATAAATTTACAGGCCTTAGAGAAACAGTCGACTACGATGAGGATACAGGTGTTTCCGTTGGAGATGGGTAGGTCAGTTATGAAATCCACTCTTATGTGGGACCAGGGTCTCCGTGGTATGGGCAGCACGTCGGAGGGAGTTTTTTGCATACTCGGTCCAGGGGAGTAAATGGCTCCAGCTGTGCTGATCTTTGTGGCAGTATGACCGGAGGTAATGCCCGAGCTCCTGGATCCTTTGCTCAGTCTGGTCATTCGTCTGAGGATGGTACCTGGAGGACAAGCTCACGGTCACTCCCAGGAGTCGGAAGAAGACTTTCCATACACGGGAGATGAACTGGGGACCCCGGTCTGAGACCACATCTTCCGGGATGCCGTAGTTTCTGAACACATGGCTAAATAAGCACTCTGCAGTTTCTAGTGCTGTTGGCAGAACTTTGAGGGGTATAAATTTACAGGCCTTAGAGAAACAGTCGACTACGATGAGGATACAGGTGTTTCTGTTGGAGATGGGTAGGTCAGTCATGAAATCCACTCTTATGTGGGACCAGGGTCTCCGTGGTATGGGCAGCAGGACAAGCTTGCCTACGGGAAGATGACGAGGAGTTTGAGACATGGCACAGACTGAGCAGCTTCGGACGTACCTGGTGACATCCCGGGCCATACTGGGCCACCAGTACCAGGCTTGGAGGAGCGAGAGGGTCCGTTTGCTGCCTCGGTGTCCAGAGCCCGGTACTCTGTGAACTGAGCCCAGAAGTGTTTGGCGTTGTGATGTTGGAACATAGGTTTTCCCTTCTGGGCCTCCCAGATGAGCATGCTCAGTGCGAGTGGCATCAAGGATGTCTTTGGAGATGTTCCATTGAATGGGGCTGACTATCAGAGCTGGAGGGAGAATGGGTTCCAGTTCGGTTGGTGTGTCGGGAGAGTGTAGGCACGATAGAGCATTGGCTTTGCAGTTGCGATTTCCGGGACGGTAAGTGATGGTGAACTGGAACAGAGTAAAGAACAATGCCTATCTGGCTTGACGTGGGTTGAGTCTTTTAGCATCTCTAAGATATTGCAGATTTTTATGGTCGGTGATGACAGTGAAAGGATGGTGGGCTCCCTCCACCCAGTGACACCACTCCTCCAGAGGTAATTTGATGGCGAGCAATTCCCGGTTGCCGATGTCGTAGTTCTGCTCCGCTGGGGTCAGTTTTCTGGAAAAGTAAGCGCAAGTATGGAGGCTGGGAGGCTCACCATAGTGGTGCGACAGCACGGCCCCGACTGGAGGCATCCATTTCCACCACAAAGGGAGCTTGGGGATCAGGATGACGAAGGATTGGGGCCGTGCTGAAGGCTTCCCTGAGCTGATCGAATGCTTCGTGGGAACTGGGGCTCCAGGACAGGGACTGGGGCTTTCCTCGGAGCAGGGAGGTAAGAGGAGCCGTGAGTATGCTGAAGTTCTTGATTAACCTTCGGTAGAAGTTTGCGAATCCAAGGAATCTTTGCAGGTCCTTTACAGTTTGGGGATGCGGCTACTCCTTGATGGCTGTTACCTTCCCCTGGTCCATCTGAAACCCATCTCGGCTGATGACGTAACCGAGGAACTGAACCGTGGAGCGATGGAATTCGCACTTCTCCAGTTTAAGGTAAAGGTGATGTTGTCAGAGCCTCTGGAGGACCTGCTTCAAGTGGTGGCGATGTTATGAGGATATCATCGATATAGACTATCACGAAGCGATGAAGGAACTCCCAGAACACCTCGTTCATGCAGCCTTGGAAGACTGACGGTGAGTTAGCTAGGCCATACGGCATGACCCGATATTCATAGTGGCCTGCGGGAGTTATGAATGCCGTCTTCCACTCGTCACCTTCCCGGATACGAACGAGGTTATACGCGCTCCACTGGTCCAACTTGGAGAAGATGCGGGCTCCACGGAGATCCTCGAGGGTGGCTGGGACCAGGGGAAGTGGGTATGGCAGCTTTACCGTGTGGGAGTTTAGCGTGCGAAAATCAATACTCAGCTTCAAACCCCTGTCCTTCCTGCCCACAAAGAAGAAGCTCGAGGCAGCTGGTGAGGTGAATGGTTGGATGAATCCCTGTTTGACAGCCTCCTGAATGTAATCCTCCATGGCCTTGCTCTCCGGGATGGACAGAGAGTATACTCTACCTCTAAACTTGGGGAGTTTCATCCCAGTGCCGTCTTCCACTCGTCACCTTCCCGGATACGAACGAGGTTATACGCGCTCCACTGGTCCAACTTGGAGAAGATGCGGGCTCCACGGAGATCCTCGAGGGTGGCTGGGACCAGGGGAAGTGGGTATGGCAGCTTTACCGTGTGGGAGTTTAGCGTGCGAAAATCAATACTCAGCTTCAAACCCCTGTCCTTCCTGCCCACAAAGAAGAAGCTCGAGGCAGCTGGTGAGGTGAATGGTTGGATGAATCCCTGTTTGAGAGCCTCCTGAATGTAATCCTCCATGGCCTTGCTCTCCGGGATGGACAGAGGGTATACTCTACCTCTAAACTTGGGGAGTTTCATCCCAGGCAGCAGGTCGATGGCACAGTCCCATGGCCGATGAGGTGGAAGGCGGGTGGCGTCCTGCTAACTAGAAACTTCCTAGAATGCCACATAGTCAAATGGGACAGTGGGTGTTTCTTGAGGTTCCGGACTCTCGACTAGGGTGGAGGCAACTGGGGCTCGAACTAGACACTCAGGCGGTTTGGGGATCGCCACGAGACAGTTTTGCCGGCACGACTCGCTCCAGCGAGTAACCTCACAAGGTTCCCATCTGACTTCTGGAGAGTGGAGAGTGAGTCAGGGGCGTCCCAGGATGATATCGACGGTGGATCCCTCCAGTACCAGAAATGTGATAGTCTCCTCATGCAGACATCCGATCTTCAGCTTCATTGGCGGGGTTCGGTAGCTGACCCGCCCACGCCCTAGCGATTTTCCCTGAATGGTTTCGACTCGAAGCTCTTGGGCCTGACATTGGCAGGGCAGATGGAGGCGGATTAGGAGGTCTCGTGATATGAAATTGCCCGAAGAGCCCGAGTCAACGAGGGCAGAGTCTGAAACCGAACAATTGACGGTGAGTAGTTGTATTGGTAACAAGGATAAAGTTGAGATTACTGGTTCGAGTTGAATGGTACTCACTGCAGGGCGTGGGGGCCTGACGGGGCAGGCTTGAGTGAAATGGCCTGGAGCAGCGCAGTACAGGCATAGTCCAGCTGCTAGGCGGCGAGCGCGTTCAGCGCGAGTGAGTCTGGTGGAATCCATGTGCATGGGTTCTGGTACTGGGGGACCGCTGGTGGCTGCTGCAGGCTGGTGGACGGCTTCGTCAGGCTGGCAGGCTGACAACTGCTGGGAGATGTGTGTGGCTCTTTGCATGAAGCTCTCTAGTATCGTCATAGATGGCCATTTGCACGCGGATGCGAGGACTCAAGCCCTGCCGGTAGGCACTGAGGAGAGCGGTTTCGTTCCAGCCACTAGTCGCTGCTAGCGTCCGAAATTGCAAGGTGTATTCGCTGGTGGTAGAAAAGCCTTGACGCAGCCGTAGGAGATGGTCTGGGACGGAGAGCATACCTGTAGCAGATCCAAACACTTCTTTGAAATGATTAGTGAAAGCATCATATGAGTTGATTATGGCACTATTGGCGTTCCATATTGCTCGTGGCCACAACAGCGCTCTGCCAGTTAGCAGGGAAATCAAGAAGGCTACCTTCGAGCGTTCCGTGGAGAATTTCTGCAGCTGCATCTCGATAAACAATGCTACTTGGAGAAGGAAGCCGCCGCACTCAGCTGCGCCACCAGCATAGCAAGCAGGAATGGCCATTGGACTTAAAGAGGCAGATGGCGGGATAGTGACTGGCGTGAGAGAGGCCCGGAGGGTGTGGACCAATTCCTCCAGTACCTCTGCGGGCGTGGGAACCCTGGGATCCATAGAGGTGTATGTCCTGGGTCCGGTCGTCTGTCACACTACGAGCCAGAGACACAAGGTAAGGATGCAAACAGGAGGGTTTATTGACAAATCGGAGAGCAAGTTGATGACAGGTGAGTATGAGAAGGTAGAGAGTTTTTGGGTTCTTAGCTCTAGGTATTGAGTTGGTATCCTTTGCAGGTATCCGGGGATGATGAGAACAGGATCGTAGGAGAACAGGATCAATGGAGCTTCTAGGGGTAAGTAAACAAACAGACCAGACACAGGTAGGAGTCAGGCTAAGTTTAAGCTGGTGAACGGACAGTGACAGTGAGAGGAGTGCAGGGATATAGTGCACTTAATGAGTCTCTGCAGGTACGGGTGATCCGTACTCAGGTGATTGCGATCTGGTGTGTGTCGGGGCTGGTGACTGAGGTGACGTAGGTGACTCCCTGACATTGTGCTGATTTGCTGCTCAAGAAACATTTCTTATTATTATCAGTGTTGAAAACGGTTGTGCTACTTCACTTTTTTTTTGGACACCATGACACTTTTTTGATGAATAGAAAGTTCAAAAGCACCGTATTTATTTGCAATAAAAATGTTTTGTAATGTTATAAATGTCTTTAATTAAAATTAAAACTAAAATACTTGAATAAAAGCATTATCTTAGATAAAGGGGTCATATGATGCGATTTCAATTTTTCCTTTCTCTTTGGAGTGTTACAAGCTCTTGGTGAATAAAGAAGATCTGTAAAGTTGCAAAGACTAAAGTCTCAAATCCAAAGAGATATTCTTTATAAAAGTTAAGATTCAGCCACGCCTACCTAAAACGGCTCATTCTAACATGCCCCAAACATGTCTGTGTAACGGTGTGGGAAGATTTGCATAACGGCGCCCAAACGTTCACGCAAAGAAAGAAGGCGTAACTTTTATCCTCGCTGTAGTATTGTTGTTGCCACCGCCGCCATGTCGTGGAGACGCTGTGTGTTTCGTTGTGAAAGCAAAACTACTTTGTTTGGCCTTCCAAAACAGGACGATATCTGCTTCGTCATGCCTAGAGCTGATCCGTGCTGGTCGCTGAGGAAATACATCAACTTCGCGCTGTGGATCGCCGGAGCGGCTTTCGCCGTTCTCAAGCCTGCCCGCCACCGCTCACTCTAGCCACCGGCCATCGCTCACTCTAGCCCTCCAGTCTACATTCACTCTAGCCGCCAGCCACAGCTCACTCTAGCCCGCCGGTCTCCGATCACTCTAGCCCGCCGGTCTCCACTCACTCTAGCCACCGACCAGCGCTCACTCTAGACCGCCGGTCTCCGCTCACTCTAGCCCACCGGTCTCTGCTCACTCGAGCCGCCAGCCAACGCTCACTCTAGCCCACCGGTCTCCACTCATTCTAGCCGCCAACCTCCGCTCTCTCTTGCCCGCCGGTCTCTGCTCACTCTAGCCCGCCGGCCTCCGCTCACTCTAGCCCTCCGATCTCCGCTCACTCAAGCCCGCCGTGTGTGACACTGTGTGTTTCGTTGTGAAAGCAAAACTACTTAGTTTGGCCTTCCAAAAGAGGACACGACTAGAAATCAGTGGTTAAGTTGTATTTACAACACTGTTCCAGAACAGTTCAACCCAAATATTCAGATGTGTGCAGCGCATTTTATGGAGGACTGTTTCCTGATCCTGGGAGAGTAGACTACCATGCCGGCTGTTCTGACTCACAGACTGTAAGTATGTTTTCATATTTAAAGGATTTGCCACTGATGATTCAAATGCGAGTTTTGAGCAGTGTAGAGTAGCACTTGTTGTTTGTCATTTCTCCAATCACAAATGCAGATTTGAATGTTTACAAGGTTTTATGTTTACGTGATGCAACGCAATGCGTAAAAAGACAGTATAAGTCATTATAATCAATAATTATGTCCCCACTGGATGCAACAAATGCCTCGTTTATAATGGGTTTTAATGTTTTTGTCTCGTCACTCCAGCCGGGACACGGCATCACAGTATGGTAAGGGGCTTAACATTTCCGTCACACGCTTGAGGTATTCGGCCAATCACAACGCACTGGATAGCTGGCCAATCAGAGCACACCTCGCTTTTCAGGCCGATGAGCTTTGTAAAAATCTACACATTTCAGAAAAGCGGGCATAGAGGAGAAACAATAATGTACCTTATATGGAAAATTATGATCATTTTTAACCTTAAACCGCATAAACACATTTCATTACACCAAATACACAAAATAATGTTCTTTTTAGCAACATCATATTACCTCTTTAAAAAAAATTCTTGACCCAAACTTTTGAACAGTAGTGTGTTTCATAGTATTAGATCTACTATATCTTGTAAAGCTATTGCATTAAACTTTGAAAAATGACTTTGAAAACTTTATGCTACTGGATAATTGAAATATTATTACATCAAATCCCACATTACAGCAAACAGTAATTATAGCAAACTATGAAAAGCTGTTCCACATGCCCTTATTCAGTCTTTCACTAAATACTGTGTCTGATATGCACATCTAATGTGAAACTAGGCTGGAGCCCAGTGGATCATGTTAATTTTCCAGTGTGCAGTAAGAGTTTAATTCAGACGGCACAGTCAGCAGAAAAAAAAAACCTTTCTGTCTGATAGATGTGAATCTCTCCTCTGTGAGTGATCTAGGACCAACCTTCTTCTTCTTGTTAATCTTTTCTCTAACCACTGGGTATAAAACACAGAAACCGATTCGAAGTCAGTTGGCTGGAGTATAAAGACATCTCTCACTAATGGAAAAGCCAGTTGATTTGATGAATTAATGCAGGAGATTCATTATCCTCATCAAATGTGATGCCGTGAATATTAACATGGCAATTCTGTTTACGCTGATAATAAATCATTCACACTAATATCATAATATGTACTTGTAATTACAAAGGGTAATTCTCAGTGTCTGTATGTGTGTGTGTGTGCAGCTGAAGGAAAGTGCTGAATTTGCAGTAGCATGACTATCTGGAGCACAATGCGGGCGGCAGGAGAATACGAGATGAGGAGCTCTCTAATTAAACAACATTCATTAATGGTGCATGTTGCCCTGACACCTTCTTTAATGATTCCGCCGTTTTATGCCAGCTGTCTCTGAGGTTTCTGATTTATGTAGACTACGATTGTATGTACATTCTGGAGAACAGAAGATTAAGAGAGTAAATTGAGTGTAAATTTATTTGTTAGTAAACGTGATGTAAAAGCTCAAGTGACGGACAGTTAGATGTGAGAACCTGTTTTACATGTTTTTGTGATGTGGGCCGACAACATTACATGTAAATGAAGATGAGCTCTTCTTTCAATGCAGATACAATTTCAAATGTGAAAGCACAGACCGCTTTTTCCTATTAAATCCTTATTTTGAGTGGAATCACTAAATTTGCAACAGCTTATCTTGCAGACATCTGTCAATCATCAGTCATGCATAATGCACGTAAAAACTTGCTGATAGCACATGTATGTTGCCAAGGCATTGTGTTCTGTTCTGCACAAACATCTAGCAAACTCTGACAAAAAAACTGTCCATGATTAAGAAAAGGTACCAGGATTTTAGAAATGTGTTCAAAAGAAATTTGTATTCATGTTTCATATGGATTGGACAGCATTTATACCAATTTGAAGAAAAGTTTACATCATTTAAATTTGAAATATATTTTTCAAGGTAAAAAAAAAATTCCATTAAATATCATGAATTATTAATTCATAAATATTATATTTTGGGAAGTTGCACCACATGACATGCTACAACCTGTACTAACTTTGCATTGTCATAAAAAGGTAAAATGATCAGATTTAGTATAGGAAACATATGGACCATATGTATGAATTGTATTTTTCATTTAAATAAATTAATATTCATAAATTTTTTTATTAAATAAATTAATAGATCTGAAAAAAAGCATACATTCGTCCTACATTCTAAATGTTAAAGGAACAGTTCACTCAAAAGCAAAAGCTCAGTTATTATTCATCTTCTTGTTGTTCCAAACCCATACACAACAGTAGACGTTTTTGAAGAATTGTTTCACAGCTCTTGCCAGTCGTCAAATGTTCATAGTGACAACCACTGTCAAAATGACAAAACAAAACCACAGTAAAACAATTTTTGGGTGAACTGTTCCTTTAAACATCAAACATAGTCAAATGTCCAACTAACTTCTAAAAATGTAACAATATATTGCTGATCAGAAGAGACATCTTGGTGACATACACTGCTGTTCAAAAGTTTGGGGTTAGTAAGATTATTGGTAACACTTTTATTTGAAGGTCCAATTCTCACTATTAACTAGTTGCTTATTAGCATGCATATTACTAGCATATTGGCTGTTTATTAGTATTATAAAGCACATATTAATGCCTTATTCTGGATGACCATATTTTAGATCCCTTAATTCTTCCCCATACCTAAACTAAACAACCTTACCTTACTAACTATTAACAAGCAGCAAATTAGGAGTTTATAGAGGGAACACTCCACTATTGTACTCTTAGAAAACTCTAGTGAATATTTATAAATAGAAACTCCAAAGGAACAGCAGGGTCACACTTTATTTTAAGGTCCAATTTTCACTATTAACAAACCATTAATTACGACTTTTGCCTCAATAAACTCCTAATTTGCTGCTAATTAGTAGTAAGGTAGTTGTTAAGTTTAGGAATTAGGTAGCATTAGGGATGTAGAATATGGTCATGCAGAATATGTGCTTTATAAGTGCTAATAAACAGCCAATATGTTAATAATGGGCATGTTAATAAGCAACTAGTTAAAAGTGAGAATTGGTCCCTATACTAAAGTGTTACCGACAGCATTTATTTGAGAAATACTTTACTGCCACTTTTGATCAAATGAATGCGTCTTTGCTGAATAAAATTATAATTTTCTTGAAAAAAAAAAAAATTGACTACATGCATGTGCGGACACTCAGATCTGACCTGAGCAGGGGTCTGCACTGAAACCCACTTCTTAAACAAAGCACTGTGTGCAGACTGGCTCAGATTAGTTAATAATCACCTCTGTTTTTCTGCTCGACGCAGAGCTGCCTCTCCAGCGTCTCTCGCAGCTCTCTCTCTCTGTACAGCTCCATCTTCAGCTCTGTGCGCTCCAGCTGGACCTGCTTCTCTTGCACCCGTGCATTATCGATAGCCACCTTTAACAGACCCTGAAAAGGGAAAAAAGGCTTCAGATTTGCAGTGTGGATCTTTACGCTAAATATTTTTTTATAACTTTTGAAATATTTTATATACCTGTATGTTGGTGAGGAGGGTTTCTATAGAGGACAGGCCCTCAGGAAACAGCAGTGGAGCAGGGAATCCTGGGGGTAATGTTGGCCCAGAATGAGACACTCGCTCATAGCTGTCTCGAGATGTCGGGGTGCAAAGGACATTTTCTTCTGTCATAAAAGTAAAGAGAAAACCAGCACATTAATAACCATTTTATAGTAATAATTATAATAATAAAAAAACGTAAAATGCTATAAAAAAGAACTGGAGTCAGTAAGATTTTTCAATTTTAATACTTTTGATTACTTTTATTTAGCAAGGATGCAATTAATTGATCGTTAAATATACAAAATATTTATATTTTAAATAAATGCAATTCTTTTGAACTTTCTATTTATCAATGAATCTTGAAAAATCAGTTTCCACAAAAATGTAAAGCAGCAACATTGACAATAATAGGAAATGTTTCTTGAGCAGCAAAATCAGCATATTAGAATGATTTCTGAAGTATCATGTGACACTAAAGACTGGTTGGAATGGCTGCTGAAAATTCAGCTTTGCATCACCGGAATTAACTACATTTTAAAATATAATACAATATAAAACAGTTATTTTAAATTGTAATATTTCACAAAATTACTGTTTTTTTTACTGTATTTTTGACTAAGTAAATATAGCCTCGGTGAGCAAAAAGACTTATTTTTATTCACAAATATTCAAAAATGTGTGGATATTTGGAAACTGTGATTCATCCAAACACATTTGCAAGTTCTCCATATTCTAAGTATGTTTTTAGTTCTTCTCTGAAATCACACTGATACGCCACATCCTCACATCCAGCGCTCAGTCTTTTATCCATGAGTCTTGAGAGCAGAACACTAGCGTCATAATGATTCAAGGTCATTACACGTCAATGCTACTTTGTTTCTAGTGCACTCCATGTAGATTTCTTTCTTTAAATGCCATTCCATTCATCTGCAGAGAATCAGCAATGTCTTCAGTTAAATCAGCTGAGTTTCAATGAGCCACCACACACTGGTTCTGGTTCATTTTTGTGGTCTCAGAGGAAGTGAATCTGGTTTAACTTAAGCTACAGCAGCTCCTCCCATTATCTAATGGCTCTAAATCTGTTCTCAGGTTTTAGTCACAGCTGTATTAGGATATTTATAAGGCTTAAAATATGTAACATACAGTGGGTACGGAAAGTATTCAGATTTAATAAATCTGCAAAAATGTCAACAATTCTGTGTTTTTCTGTCAATATGGGGTGCTGTGTGTACATTAATGAGGAAAAAAATTTAACTTAAATGATTTTAGCAAATGGCTGCAATATAACAAAGAGTGAAAAATTTAAGGGGGTCTGAATACTTTCCGTACCCACTGTATTACTGATGACTCATGAGCAGCACTGTATCTTCTGTACTATTGGTCAATATTATGAAAGAGATATAAAGCTGAGATATAAAGGATTCTCCAACCAACTTTCTTGTGTATCCCTTTGTGACAATAACTTCTCCATTACAACAAGCCCATGTCATCAGAAGGCTTAGAACGAAGAAAAACCTGAGAACACTGACCAAAACACTTGAAGCACAGGAAGAGGCTGAGATACAGAGCACCAAGAAACGTTGTTTTTGATCAGGCCGAAGCCTTGATCTTGTCATTGTCACTCACTTCAAAGAGTTTGCTAATGTATGGGGCCTCCTGCTACCATCCAGAACTAACAGCAACACCAGAGTGCATCTCGAGCAGACATGTCCTCCTCTCATCTCTGCCACTTTACCAATATGATCTTAATCTTTAATTAGCCTTGGTCTAATCTTTATGAATCACACATCATTTAATGTTTTAATTTTTATCTTAATTTGATGGAAAATTACAGACTGTAAGAATATTCAGTCTGATTTGCTGTATTATTTCCTTATTTCCAAATAATAGTTGGCAGGGTATTTAAGAGTACATGCAGGCAACTGTGGCTATTTTTACTAACTCTGCCTATAAATGTTCATATATACTGTATATATATACAGGTGCATCTCAATAAATTAGAATGTCGTGGAAAAGTTCATTTATATATATATATATATATATATATATATATATTTATTTTTTTTTTTATTTTTTTTTTTACTTCAGTAAAGATTGCATATGTTATTTATATATTATCAGTTAAAGGTTTGGGGTCAGTGGCATTTTCGGTGAGAAGTCTCCTATGCACATCAAGGCTACATTAATTTGATTAAAAATACAGTAATATTGTAAAATTGTATTACAATTTAAAAGAACTATTTCCTATTGAAACATATTTTAAAATGCACTTTATTCCAACACAATCCTTCAGAAATCATCCTACTAAGCTGATTTGCTGCTCAAGAAACATTTTCTATTATTATCACAGTTGGCAACAGTTATGCAATGTCTCTAGGTTATGTATGTAACCATGGTTCCCCGAGGGAACGAGACACTGTGTCGAAGTCCCTTTGGGAACGCCCCTGCGTGACCGCGTTCTGAAGCACGTGTCAAATCAGTCCAATGGAGTAGCGAGACGTCATGAGCGGGGTGACGTAAGCACCAGAAAGTATAAAAGCGCATCCGGCAGAGCGCAAACCA